TCTGTGTGCGATTTGGCCTAAATCTGCATAGATATCTAACTGGAGAGTTTTAAAATAACAGAACCAACATAAGAGGAAGTAATATTCCATGATATTGAATCTTCAAATTTAGATTTTCCGATAAAAAAAATCTGCTCTAAGGAATGAAGTAACTCGGAAACTGTAAAATTACACTTTGGGCTCCCTGGGTGTGCATTATTTTGAAGAGACAAAGACGTATGAAATATGTAAAATATCCATCACTGATTTTAATCATTAATACAATGAGTAAATTAAATTATTCCGGGGAAGGTAGTTTAAGAATTTCAAGACACTTATATTAAGAGATACATTAATTTCTATGATTCATAAGGAATGTTGTCTGTTATCTCAAAAAAACTGATGCTTATTGTGAGACATCGAAACATTCTGCAGTCAGTACGTTACCGTTGAGCCAACGGGTTGGAATCCATTGGTCCATATTTCCAACTTCTGTCAGTTCTTCACACACACACACACACAACCATCACACATTGTTATCGTTGAGAATTTATCTTCACGTTCACTCGGTCTGCTTCACCGGTCACAACTTGTGATTAAAACCTCCGCAATCACCTCTCGAAGCTAGTCACTAATAAGCATCAAGTTGATTCAATTTAGAGGTTTGTGACGATTTATATATTGATTTCAGGTTCACATTCATCACGGACTGACACCAGTTGGAGAAACATTAGAAACCTGGGAGCACTGGACAGTTGTTTCGTCCTAGTATGGAACTCCTCAGAAATGGGCACCCATGACACAGTCTGGTGTCAAACCCATGAGCTTCAGGTCTTACAGTTAGTACGTTATCATTGAGTCACTGTGTAGGAACGCGGTAGTCCATATTTCCTAATTCTATCAGTCGACGATATAGCACGACTTCCATCCAGCGCTGTCTTGTAGCAACTGTCCTTATGCCCTGAGCCCACGTTTTTCACGACTTCTCATTAGAACTTCGGGAATGATCGTCCGAAGCGAATCAGCAATGAGCACCAGATTTATTCAATTTTGAGATTTTTGGTGATTTGAGGTCGCACTACTTCCTGAACAGACATAAGTAGGATAACACTGTGTGAGCGAGCTGCTAAGGGGTTGCATACTACCACAAAATAGCTACCCAGCGCTCTCAGGTTTTTAATGCCTATCCAAATAATGTTATTTCGTGATGAATACAAACGTGAAGTCAATAAAATCTTCACAAACCCCTAAATTGAATCAAAACAGTACAACTATTAGATTTTGTTTTATTTAACTCTGTAAGTTAGTAAAACAAAGTAAAATTGACTTCTGTTATGTGTGATGATACCGCGTTGAAATAAGACTGAAATATACACTTTCACACTAAGGTGAATCGGCTACGAATCTTCTCTCCAACTCCAATCCTACACCCCACACAGATAACTAATGGTTACATAGCACATTCATACGTTCCAAATGCCCGTCAAGAAGTTATATCAATAGGAGAACTAATGGAGATTGAGAATTGGGTAGTTGTTTCACCTTGGTTTGAGATACCTCAAGAGTTTACGCCCATGACACCGTGGGAAAATAGGTTTAAAATATCTAGAGAAGGTTACATACAGACAGACAGTGGGTAAAGATTCAACCGTTCATCGTGAAATTAATCGCTTCTCCACAAACACGCCCCTTGAAACACTTCAAGATGCATTTTTGATATTCTGTCGCAAAGTTATGACGCATAGGGTCAATCAAGTTGAGTGTAACAGAAGCAACTCCCCAGCAACATTTAATAATAATCTCAGTATATAATGAATCAATAGGAGGTAAGTGTGGACGATTAAATTCTGAGACACTTTAGGAATAATACTGTATTCACCTCGATAATTGAGTCATGAACTCAATCTCTTACAAATTTTGGGGAGCAGACTGCTGATGGGTTCCAAAACAAGATGAGATCGATGTCCATTACTACCAGTTTCCAAATGGTTCTCCAAGTTACGTAAATCAGTGATAAAAAACACTATAAGAATGATGAATTCTCCATAAACAAACCACCTTTATAAAATTTCAAGCGTTTTTGGAATGTTGCCAACTAAACATTTTATCTGAATTGATATAGTACATTTGAAAACAAACGGAAAGTGAATAAGTTCAGAGTCAACTGGACGGTTTGCCATGATGATAATTGAAATTACAGTTGATCAAGTAAATTACTAGAAAGCAAAAGTTAAGAAGTCATGAGACGTGTTATCCGTTCTCTCCTTCTAAAAACACGAGAAAAACTACAACGATACCTCATTTAATGTTTTTTTATTCAACATATTTTATTCACAAAACTAAGTTCTCCCTATACACCGAAGTAAAAACTAGCCTACTTTACACAAAACCTATCCCAAAGGAAGATAAACCCCATGTCACCAACAGGATAAACCAAAGTATCTACAAAAACGTATATTCAGAAAAATTAGCCATTTTAATGACTTTCATATGGAGTTGATGCCAGTTATCAATTAATTGCTACAAAATATATTTCGATTTGAACATTGGTTGATGGGAACCAAAGTATGGGAATAATTATGATAATTTACTTGGCTGTGACTAGCATAGGAATCCAGGGGTACGGGGTTCGAGTCGCAGTGGGAATAACATCACTCACTGGGATGCATGTATATTCGGCTGACGAGTCCCAAATAGGATGAGACGCGCGTCCTAGATTCCTCTTCTACCCACAACCAGTTTAATTATCATAATTAATATTCACGCAATATTGAGGCATCCGCATAGGAGCCTATATGCCAATAGAAGTCTAACAGTTCGACTCAGTAAAACAATGGAGAATTACAAGCACATCAATAAATAGTAATATGGAAATAATTGTCATCCGTTAAACACAAAGCCAGCTATGCTGGACATCTCGAATGTAAAGTGTCTGTAAATCTCTTCTAAGTAACGGACCAGTATTCTTAAAATACTTTATTCTTTCAAAAATAGTATGAAGTGATTTCAGTCACTTCACCGTTAACCCGTAGATGAACCGTTTTTAGAAAAGTCCCAGTAAACATACCAATACGTTTAACAAATGGTTGCATGCATTGTGAAAACTAAGAGATGTGGTAACGTTTGAAAACTATACAAGTTTACGAAAACACTTGACATTCTCTTGTTATAGTGTGTAGATTGCCATGATCTTCATAAAAAGCTGTAAATCCCGGAAGATTTCTATAACTTATCATATTGCTCCGAAGTTTCAAGAGAAAACACACGAAGCAAGGTGTAAATATCAGATTGATTGAAGAGACAATAATTAGTAGGACATTCAAATCTGAAAAGGCCTGGAAATAGCCAAGGCCAATGTAAATATATATAAATCTTTGTATTTTGCATTTATTTTTGACGTTGCAATGCACCTTCTGTTATCTTACCGTCTTTTAGATTTATCGAGAAACTGAACGACTATCAGGGGATGGGATCTAAAGATTACTGCACAAACGCCCACCTATATATAACATAGTTTATATCAAGTAGTCACTACAAAGAATAACGAGTGACAACAGCATAGTTACAACAACTGGCAACAGGTTTATAACAACTCTCTTAGAAAGTTTAAATTCGACAGATAACACCAGCTTATACTACCCTGATGAATAGAGTTATTGTTGAAAGTAACTGGTTTAGCCTATGGTTGAACCAACGGATTCACAGGAAGAATATAGAATAACACAATTTGTCCACCCATCAACCAATTCTTACCTTCTGAAATTGATATTTTTATTATGCCATACAAATATGATGCGTTGCCATTTCAGAAAAGTTCATTGGATGAACAAAAATTGTTTACTGAAAAACTACAAACGGTAATGATGAAAATGCTTAACTTTACAGTAGTCAAATTGGTGAAAATTCTCCAGTCTGCAGCATTCTTGCCTTGTACATTTCAACTCCATATTATGTCTTCTTTCCACCTAAATCTTCACAAGTTGATCATTATCACCTTTTGTATTTCCCAATGCTGCGCTGCATACTACTGATGTACATTCTTATAACTAGCATTCGTCATATTATGTACTACAAGGCTGTAAGTTGAAACGTATATCTGTAGCTCAGAATGTAGATATTCAAAGTGTTTTGTTTGTTGAGCTTAGATTTTAGTTGGTAGATGTCATGCTAAATATCGTCATCAAGCTTCCAAGTGAGGTTTATGGGGATTTTATTTTTAAGGTTGCACTCATCACGAACTGACATCTGTTAGGAAACCACTAGAAACCTGAGAGCACTGGACAACTGTTTCGTTCGAGTATCGGACACCTCAACAATAAGCACCCACGACCCCTCCAGGGATCAAACTCAAGACTCGTGGTGACCGCGTTAACCATTCAGCCACTGGGTCGGAGTTTTACAGCCCGTAATTTCCTACTTCCGTCCATTCGTGATGTATCGTGACTATTCATCAAGGTCTTCAGTTGACATCCGCCTCACTTCCCATTGACTGTCCCCACAGGTCACGGCTTTTCATCTGGAAGCATGTTACTAGTAAGCAATATAAAATGATGCAGTCTGACGTTTGTGAAGATTTTACTTTCAGGGTAGTATTGATCACGGATTGACATCACATGCAGAACCATTGGGAAGGAGGTGAGAAAGGAGGGGAACAGTTGACTTAGAAATTAGTACAGCGACGTATTAACGATTATTAAACACAACTGATGTTCAAAGTCTACGATGCCATCTGACTACTCATAGCATGATAGAGGAAGTGCAGTTTTTAAACCCTGAACACACTATATTGAACACTAGGTGACTAGACTAATAGGCTGCAGTCACTCATTACACAGTTGTCTAAGTAAAAAAAATTTCATTTCCTTTAAAATATTTGAGTATACGTCAGTTTTATACTGCAAAGGTTTCCCGCACTTAGCACTGTAAGGATGGACTGTCACTTCAGATTCTGTCATCAATTCATCTAGTGACCAGACAAAAAAAGTCTACACATTAGGTTAATACAAAAGTAATCAAACAAATTGTTTCAAACACTATGTTTGTATTAACGTTCAGCAAATTATACGAAGATTATGAGAGATAATGAGAAAACATCTAAGTATTATTGTACTCTGAAAAGAAAAAAAGAAATATAATTCATATAAAGTCAGTTGGACAACTACACACAACTACAAGTAGTCACTATAAAGTCAAGAATAAAACCAATATGTTGTGTTTGAATGACAACTGCCGTCATCATCATCATCATCATCATCCTCAACATTTAAACCAGTGTACCGCAACAATTTATGGAGCTTACTTTTCGCATTGTGTGACAGCTACTTTCTTCTTACTAATGGAAATGAATATTTGTAAATATTAGGAAGTACATAGCACAATAAATGTGTACGAAATGTCATGACTGACAAAGTCATAAATGAAATTTTACAAAAAAATAAATAAGTAAATAAAGTCAACATATTACACACAAAAATTGTTGTGCTGTATAGTTAGTTGAGTGAAAAGAAGCAAAAACTAGACAAAAAGGAAAATATAGCAGTTTAAGGGATTACAATTTTCGAGATAAAGTTAAAATGCACAAAGGAAATAAAACAAAAAATATTAAATGAACAATGGTAACTCTCTCTCTCTCTCTCTGACATTTGGTATTTTGGCTATACTTAGTGTATAGAGAATTCAGCGAACCGGTTAACCAACCCAAATGACTAATAATGCCTTCAGATAGCTAGATAAATGCAGATATAAAATGTGCATGAATTCAAGATAATGGATTAGTTGTTAGTATACAACTAATAGGTATAATGGATTGGCTTGGTTGTAAGGTTTGTGGAGTGAATTCCAGTGTAGGACCTGCAAAACTGAATGTAGAACCAGGATGAATAGACATAATTGGAACTGGCAGGAATCCGGAAACTGTTGTTAGTGAACAAGGTGAAATGGTAGGTATAGTAATGCATTCAGTACTATCGATTCGATTATTATTGTTGTTGTTACTGCTATTGGCAACAGTAATAGTTATAGCAGGAGTAGTTGTGGTAGCACTTAGTCTAGCTGACTGTGTCGAATTATTCTCCGGTTGTTCTATTTTAAAGATACGATCAGTAAGAACTACAGGTGTCTGTGCATTAGGAGTATTGTTATTCTGATTATTGGATTCACTGTTATTGCTAACAACAACTGATTTTCCAGGTAAAGGTTTGACTGGTAGATCAGGAACTATCCACACCCATTCTTCTCGTGTGCTAAGTGACCAAGGACATGAACGAGCACGCATAAACTCTGGAAGAAAAGCCCGTAATTCATCATTGACATGTGCATACGCAACCTATAATTTTTAAAAACGAGAAACAATAGGAAATATACATGAACCTAGCATTTGAGGACAACAATTAAAAATATTAACCACAACAACAACAACTTACCTGCAATTCACTAAAACTAGCATTGCAACCAGAACAAATGTAACTAGTTGGTTTCTCTGGGCCATCTTCACTTGAGGATATTGGCTGGTAACGAAGATGCAGTTCAATAGAACGAAAAAGAGCAGCTTCGACGCGTTTAGCATCTTTGTAATGTACACCAGAACGTATACGCATGCCATCAGAGAAATATCGGCCTATTTGTCTTTTCCCTTGTTCTGTCAGTCGTCCATACTGGGACAAGTCACTCTCGATTTCCTTCTATAGAGTAAAAAGCAACATAAATCAGTAACTCTGGACCTCTGAAGAAAACTAGAACCGCCACACAACACGTCAATCATTTTTCGATTGTTAATATGAAATTAGTTGCTGAAAACCAGACTTAAATTAATTCTACTTAAGCAGAAATAAAATAATTATTATTTTATGCGTGATGATATCTTCGGGATGGTGGCAGAGTGAGAGTTTGGGGAAGGTGTAAGAGGCTTAATATTAGTATCAGGAGATGAGGGCAAATGAGGAGATAGAGTTGAGGAGGATACGTTATACTTGATTGGGTCTCGTGTACAACTGGAAACGTGCGGGCGGTTGATACTTCCCGGTTGCCCACACCGTGGAAGGTTATTCCCTCTTAAGATACCTGGAAGAGAAAAAGATTTGTGTGACTGCTGATTGCACGGGATATCTGCTTGAAGCTTGTCAAACACAGCCTTTTTCGGGTTGTTGGTATGAGATTTTTTTGTTCTAACAACGCATAGAGAAAACCCATATCGCCAGCACTGGAAGATCGTCAAGCAAGAAGGAGTGTGCCGTCTTTGGACCCAACCTTTTCTAAGCCCGCCCTTCCACAGGAAAGGTAGCATTAGGGTAGCACTGCTAATCATCTAGGGGAAACAGTGTACTGTCATCAAGACCCCCCCCCCCAAGCTAGCAGTACGACTTCTCCCTCGGACACCATTATAATGTAACAATTTACACTTCAATGGTAACTGCTTTTCATCTTACCACTGTCCAACAGACCTTTCTGGCATGACAGGACCATAAGGGAACAAGCGTTCCAGCCAGTGTGCCTTGTCAGAGCATTGTGATATACAAGCCCAACCACCACGTCTAGGTAGCAGCTATCGGCCGGATAATGATTCCTACCAAAGACCAACCATTAAATAAAATATCGTAATTGTATCTAATTTTTTTTCTTTTTATTATCAAATTTTCTCTAGGACTAAACAACTGGACATTTATTAGTTTCCGGAGAAACATTACAAACTGTACTTTCCTTAAAATATCGACCATCTTTTCCACTTGAGAAATAAATTTTTAACAGATTCTAGTGAGTAATTTGAAAGACTAAGTTTAACTAAATAGTTACGAGTCTTTATTTAATTGCAGATTTCTGAGAAATTAAATACTGGTTCAAATTAATCAGTTCATAATAGTAGAACATGAAGTAAAATGCTACCTTTAGTAAATAAAGGTTAGAGTAAGCGAATTTAATTGTGATTTCCTATTCTCACTGGTACCTTTTTATCTTTTATTTTCAGTTACACAAACGGACAGGCAAAATTAACGTACAGCCTCACACAGAAGTGTACTGGTTCAAGTTGCAATACTTCACAGTAATTGTTACTAAGATATAGTTTTTATAATACTCCAGTATGTATTGTCTGGCCACGATTATGTGTTCACAAAAATATGCATAATCTTTTTAAGAAGTAAAAACAAACACAAGCAAACAGTTAAAGTTAATAGTACTAAGGGATAAATAACAGTCGATGTCACTATTGTAGAGACAAAACGTTGCATTTACTGAAAAAATTGCATCAGTTCTGCAATCACTTAAGCGAAATAAAGAGACTGTGCTGAAAATAAATGAAACAAGCTGTTAATTCACATAAAGTCAACGTTACGTTGTACTGGAAACACCACGATAGCATATAATATAAGCATGAATTGAAAAGTTAAGCAACTTACTGCAAGCAGATGTCTTGTGACAGCATGAAAAACGACCTCAGTACGACCGCTATAAATAAATCGTTTGCACACTAAACAGATGAACTTTTTATCAGATCGTGTGATTAACTTTGACCAATCTTGCCAAACTGCACGAGATTGTTTGCCAGGAGAATTTTGATCAGATTTTGGAGAAACAGCCAACTTTTGGTTAGAATCTGGAGTCATAATTCCATTTGTAGATAGGGAAGATAAACTGTACGTCACTTTGGAACTTGACTTCTCATTAGTTAAAGTAGATGATAGGCTTCTTGAATTACGATCCTTTCTTTCTGCAGATGCATTAGATATGGCTTCGTCACATTCACAATCAGATTCACTGGAACAGTGGAAATCATCCGCACCACAAATGCCCAATACAATACGTTGTGCCATAATGGTTGGCTTGAAACATAAAGTGAAAAAAAGAAGATGGGGATGAAAGTGTACACTCCCATAGAAGCATGACAGCTATACCACCGAAATACAATCAGCTTGAATTTAAGTCTAAAATGAGAATGCTGAAACCTTTCATTCAGGAGCAACTGTCTGGACTCTGACAACACTTAAGTGTATGCTAAGTTCATTTTGTGCTCTCGTGTTCATCAAAATTATCGTCCTAAATAGGGTGAAGTAAATATATTGGTTGGTTTCAGCATCGCAACTAGATACCGAACTGAACCCGATACCAAGCTAGCCCCCGAACCTTCACAAAATACAGATAAGCAATGGCGATTGAAGTCATTTGCAACCTCAAAGAACGTCTAAATAACAAACATCGCATCACCGTGAGCTGATCGCAACTCCTTGACGATAGTCCGTATGTCCCAGCAGACACCAGGTCCAATGGTATACGAAATTCTTTCTATCAACAGATTAAGGAGTACTTACGTAAGGACCTCGAGGCTTAGTAGTTATAGCGTGCGAGTGAGATTGTATCAGCAATCTGCAATTGCATCTATTGTTAACAGGAGACTGCTTCGACTTATACCGGCGACCAGTAGCAAAAAGTTGTCAATTCTACGGTCTAAGAAGTAGGTGGTATACTGGTCACAAACTTCCCAGACACCTGGAAGGCAATAAAGAGCATTTCAAAACGCTACTGAGTAACAACAATTTGAATATCTCGTACTATAAGGTTGGCTAACACTGATCCAAATAAGGGGGCGGAGGTCAGAAGAGAACTCTCCAAGTAATAAAGCGCTATGGAGCACTTGTCTAACACAATTTATCATGGGCTCCTTTGAAAAATGGCAGTAACACTGCAGTCGAAAGACTAACTATATTGTTCGAGAGGGCATGGCAGACTGAGAGAGTTCCAATACCCCAGAATGAAGCCGTTGTCATACTGGTCTATAAAAATGGTTTGGGTATCGTGTTTAGTAACCATTAGGGTATCAGTCTAATACCAGTAACATCTAAAATATTCGCTGCCACTGTACTTTGCAGGCTGTGTAAAATGCGCGAAAGACTAACCCATGAAGAGCATGTCGAGATTCGCTCATGTTGCAGATGCATTGCTCACGTGTTCACCCTCTGTGAGTGCCTTGAACATCGTCACACTTAGTGCAAGCCAATGATAATTGTATCTCCCAAAATCAGAACTGCATGCCATTTGCTAAAAACGCGACTTAACCAAAAAATTTTCAGCTAGATAACGGCGTTCTCCAAAAGTTCGTTAGAATCTCGAAAACTCTATAAATCAACATATCAAGTTAAAAGATGGCACGCAGCCATTTTCATCCATAGCCCCAAAACAGCAGTACCCCAGGCAGGCCTCTTTTATTTCTCTTTCTTAACAATTATGCTGTTGGTAACATTCTCGAAAAAACTTAAAATAGAGCGTGACGGTGGCGTCAGGCCGATACTCAGTGGGAAACCAAACGACCCATAAAATGCAAAAAATATCTCAATACCGTCGAAATGTAAATTGATTCTACGTAGTTGATAGGAGCCCGCGTTTGCGATCACCCTTGGCGGTAAATGTTGGAGGTCGTTGAAAACTGCATGCGTAGTTGTATGAGTGCTGGTGGAAGGGTGACTGACCAGGTTTCCAACTGCATATCGAAAGCAAGAGTGACGAACATCAACCGGGATCATTTTTAGCGCCATTGTGAGGTTGGTTCGGCTATAAGACGTAAACGTTCAGATAGTTCTCATATATGCTCGTGAAACCTGGTCTTTCCGAGGTGAGGATGTTCATTCCCGCACTCTGCAGGATTACTAGCATCCAGTGGAAACACCATATGGGTAACTGTCAGTAAAGGAAGTGTGTGTTTGGGTGTGACAAATCGTTATTCTGTGGCTTGGACATATGTTACAAAAGTAATCCGAACGTATCTCAAACCCATTACTAATCCCTTGTTGTCGGGCTGGTTGCAAGAAGTGGAGGGTAGGTCAGTGTGAGCTGTGACGTCCTGCGAAGGTTGATACTTTAGCTGGACTAGCATCTGCTGGTGTCTTACGACTCTTTGCATGTAGTCTGAGAGATTGTGCAACTCAATGGCTCGACGGGATAGTAAATGTAGCTCAGAATTGAAACCGGTGATGACCATGTTGTACTTTTCTTTCTTCCTTTGTCGGCAGAATTCGATATGCATAACCCTTGTGATGTATTATCATCATAGACAGTGTGCACTAAGCCCATAAAGTGAAGTTCATGACATTATTCAGTCACTCAGAATCATGAAAAATTCTGCTTGAACATATTTTCACATCACATCTTCCTCAGTGATTTCTTGTGTCAGTTTACTCTGTATAGTAATTTCAGCTGTAGCATTGAACTATTTAATTTTTGGTGACATGATCTCAGATAACCGAACTGAAAATATTGATAAAGTTCACATAAACAATAACCAACTTGGTGTAGATCAGTCTAGGAAAGGTCTAGCAAACTTTAATTTCATGTCTACGAATTTCAAAAGTAGAAAAATAAGCAGTATATACGCTGAGACAAACAAAGAGCAATCAGTTTACTAGAAATAAGGACAGACTCGCACCCTCTTGGAAGACATGCACTGAAACGGGTAAATTGAGAACCAAGAAAAGATGGTGTATTTGATCTGAATCATACTCCAGAAGTTTCACATGTGGGCTAATAAGAGCAGACTGTCAAGTACCAATAGGAAGAGTTAACAGAAATATAACTTGTCATAGTACCAAATTTATGACATAAAAGGCAACGAACACATGCAAATCAACAACAAATTCACTTATTTATCCCATCCTAATAAGATGTCTACACCCATAGTGTGTTTACATTCGAGACCAGGTACTCGTGACTGAGGTTACATCACCTTCTAACAGTTCTAAATAAAAAAGAGAAGCGACCTAATGTAGTGAATATATTGCGTAGAAACAGGTTGAAGAACATAATTTAATGTATTGCTGTGTGCTAGATCGAATATTTAAGTCTAATATGGAAAGAATAGTTCTTGATCACGATTTGTAAAACAGAACCACCAATGTTTCACGGGAATTTCGCTCCACTTCTCAAGTATTAACTGGATCAAACAATGTGTACTTCTTGCAAATCTCTACACTTCGATCAAACTGGTCTCCATAAAAAATCGAAAAACATCCTGAGAAACAGCCGGTTAAAACCCACCGTCCTATCAAATTTTAGGGCAGCATCAACGTACTATTTAAGGGACAGCTAATTAAGCAGTTCTTTCTCTCTTTGTCTTTTTCTTAAACTAATTTTCCACTTATTTTGAGTAGCCAGAAATATGCTATTTTTTTATTTACTTCACCTTACATTCAAATTTGTCTTCCATGATACACCCACTTTTTCACATGAACTTCAATAACCGTAGATCACGTTCATTATACCACCAGCGTGTTCGGAAACACCTGACAACTTTTGAATCCACTAAGTACTATCCTGCTGACTCTAGAATCACGAGTACTTTCCGCAAGAAACCATGAACTAGTAATCTGTTGCGCACTGATTTACATCGAACCACACTGAATCATCATTACCGAGCAAGTGAGTGAGCATCTGATCAATTGCGTAGAAAACTGAGACATATTTGGTACCTATAATAAGCTGTTAAATTTAGCTGGCAATAAACCGGTTTTCATGATCATCCGTTTGCAATACTAATCCAACCTGTAGAACTATTGGGAAATGATACAAACATATCAGCAATCTGAGCAGCTGATCATATCCAGTTTTAAAAACTACGATATCGGCGTCATTATCTTTCAGTTTAATGCTAACCAAAGAGCACATAACTATGAATGAAATCAGTGAGTCGATCGCCACAGTAGACGACACAAATTGTCAGCAAGATTACGATACCCAAAAGCTTCATTTATCTTGAAATCTCATTACTATAAAACAGCAGATATAAACAGAAAACTGAATGGTCAGTATACCTTAAGATCATTGGAATGAAGTATCTGAAGATGATCTTTTATTTGAACTTGGTCGGTTGTTGATACACCACAAACTGAGCACGTAAAAACGTGTAGCTCCAAAGAACGACTTGATGACTCCAGATGGAAAGTCATAATATGCTTCCGAAGGTCGAATGCTGACGTGGTGTTAAATCCACACTCAGGACAACACAGTGAGGATATCATCCCAGATCGCAGACAGTGGTGGAAGTCTTTGTCTGTAACGTCCACCATTTCCCACCTTAAATCAAAAAAGTTACCATGAAGTAAAATTTTCAAAAATTTAGTAAGAAGTCAGATTAAATTTTATGACTTTTATTGTTTAATGATTTTCCATAAAACACATAAATTCTGATAGCTTGCTCATGAGATCACTATTTACAGTTTCATTTTCTAAGGATATCTTATCTTTTTCTTCTATCATATCTCCAGAGCGGGAAATAAAACGACCATCTTGAGACATTTCCCAGCCTTTTGAAAGAAAATGTTCGTCAATATCTTCAGATAGTAAGCCCAATTTATTGCGCAGGAACTCCACAGATACGGATGAATACGCTCGAGCAACAAGACTTATGGTAGAATTCAGCTGTTTTTCACGTATCTGTTTCACCATTTGAACAAGAATATCAGGTTGTCTTGGTCTGACAAGATTAGGGAAATAGACGAGAAGAACGATTTAACATCGTTTCGCCATAGCAGGCGACCAAGGCTCCATAAACACTTGATAGAGGGATTTTCTTTCATACTGGAAGGCATTCTTTTGTACAGAAACTTTGCGCTGACCAAGTCAGACTTTATTAAATAAAGCCCTAAATATTGTAAGTAAAAGTTGATAGGTGAAGGATTTGTCAATGAGTTTGGACAGAAATTTGAATCTAAGGATGTCATATCTAGTCCTAGTTCGAATGTTATCATTTCTGCGAGCTGCTCATCCAATACAGAATCCTCCAGCACCATTTTCGTGCATGTGTAACTTACGCTACAATTGTCCCGCTGAGTTGTTATGCCCTTCAACCATTTAGTTGAATGAAAACGCATGGAGAAATCTTTTACTTAATTCCACTCACTTTCTAGAAGCAGCTGATCTCTACTTCTTGTCTGCTACAACTCCTTGGTAAAAGACATGAAATCACTGTATCCAGTATCATTTAACTGTGTTAGAGAAACTGATATTTCTGAACTCTTGAGTCTTTGTCTCCAGACTAGGTTTTTTTTGGTTTTACTTCTCTGGCTGCCGTGAAAGTCCTTTCTGCTTTCCTGCATTTATCGCTTAGCCATATGATTGTCCTTGGGTCTTTCCTGTTAGTAGTCTGCAGACTGTAGGGAAATTACGAAGCCTCTTGAAAGACTGATGATCTTTCTGCAACTCTTTCCTATTTTAAAGCCTAACGTTATACAAAATAGGGGGCAATTAAATGAAAAGTGGTAATGTGTGATGCGAAAGGGAGAGACTAAGGGGCCTGCGTACAGCAATAACGCGTGTCACTGAGACGTCAAGACAAGGAAAGTGGTCCGATAATAACACTTAAGTCCTAACATAGGTTTGTGGGTTCATTGGGGTGCATTTTCCTGGCACCAAGTGCAACTAAAGCTAAAATAAATAGATTAAATTAGACTAACCAAATAAACCTATAGCTCGCCTCCGGATGATTCGGGTGTTTTAAGTTTCCCTGTAACGAGCATGCATCCGGGCAGGCTTCGGCGCCGTTTTGCGTTTCCTTAGTGCTGGTTGGCACGCACATACTCAGAGCCCCCGGCTCAGACATACTAGCCAGATAGGTGAAATAAACTTTTCCCTCACTCATTACCATTACATTTGCCCCAATTGAATACATTGCTTCTTCAAATATACTCTCTTTTGATTTGTGTTTCGTTGCCAGTACTTACGCGTTAGGTGGGGTACTGGTTAAGGAGTTACTAGAACACATTAAGTTAAGTGGGGTTGGTCGAAAGTTACCGACTAGTAACTCACCCCCTGCAGGGAGTTCGTACTGTGCATACTCTTGGCAGGAAAAAGTCGGCCCTCTTCCTGGTGTAAGCTCTTCAGAGGATTCTCCACGCTAGTTTCCCTAACGACTCTTTATTCTGGAATGGCAGCAACTACTCATCAGACTGGCTTACCCGATGGACAGTCTTGTTTAGCGTTGTCAACTAGCCTTGTTTCATATGTAAGCCAAGGGTGAATGGGCTAATTTGCCAGAGCCTCAGAATAAGGTTCACGCACCGGCTCTATGATATATTCTGCTGCCCTGCTCTGCGAGTTCTCCAAAACATTTTATTCTTGCGTAAGCAGAGAAGGGAACACTGTTTTAAGAGCACCGAGGTGTGATCTGATAAAGGTTTCTAAGGCTACAAACGACAGTTCGTGCATAGGAGCCCCAAGATCTCTTCGAATGAAGTTGTTGGCAGCACTAGACTTTGTTATCGTTTCATTTTAGTTCACCCCGGTGTCTAAAGTAGCAAAGAAACTGAGGCCCGAATCTTCCCGTTTGGCCATCTGGGGAAAATGGTACAGCTTACCCCACTGGTTTCGAGAGTTCAAACATATACTGCTTTGCACTTCTCCGTGTCAAGGCCTGGACTGTTTCATATCGCCGAAAATTTCTGCTGTGACAGGTCGTTTCGGGGCTGTTCTTTATCATTTCTGAAGTCTGTTACTTACTTTGTTTTGATGTCATCTGTGAACAGTAGGATGGGGAGGAAACTCATGAGACCATCGGATATAAATAGCGGAAACGCAAGTGACATACGGATATCGGGTCAGGGAATACCCTACAATATTTTTCGGAAATCTGTCAACATCCCCTGCGAAGACATTCGCCTGACGTTGTTGAAAAGATGTTCGAGCACCCCGTGCTGTTGACTTTATGACATTTTCAGCAATCCGTAGGTGAACGCAAACTTTCAAGTGGGTGGAAGCTATTATCTTCTTTACCATCTCCAGAGGTATTGGGGAGGCAGAATCGGAGGCGTTTTCAATCTGTTGCAGTTCTGCTGGTGTTTCTGAAGGTAATCAAAGGCCTTGTAAACGACCGCGTCGGTGGACAGGTGAGTATTAACTGAAGCTCAACACAGCTTTTTAAAACATGAGTTCTTCGCTCTTGAAACTTCTGAGAGCCCGTGATAACTGGACAGAATTCTATGACCTCTAGTTCACTGCTTTTATCAATCTTCCTGATCTCACTAAGGCCTTTAACATAATTCCACACACGATCCTAGTGCGTGCTGTAATAAAGTTGGCCATCAGCTGCGGGACGCTTATTTCGGGGAGGGGATTATTTAGATCATGGGGAGGTCAGTTCTAAAAATGTTAAGACTGACGCAAATGGAACATCATGACCACCCATATCATAAAGATCGATTCTAGATTCGTTACAGCCCTTAAAAGTTCTGAACGACGTTTCAATGGAATTTTTCCCCGCGGAGATATGTAACATCCAGAAGATAATCGAACGCATTGTACGTTAGCCTTAAATTCTTCGAGACAGCGTGAAAAGTAAAGGATTGGCGGTTAACATGCATAAGTAAAAGACCAGGTTTACCAGTACTTCAAGGCGACGAAATGCATCTTGATCCCTACACGATACGCTGTTGTTTCTCTTGGCCACGGCAAGAGATCCGGAACTAACACAGATCAGCAGGATTCTGATCAGACACCAACTCATTAGGAACAATATAATGATAATATAATATGATATAATAATAGCCTTATTTTCAAAGGTATTTCAGGGCTTCTCTACAAAATTTTCAGCGTATTGCGTAGCATCAGATGGACAGAACCGGTGTAAATGTGTGCACGGCAAAATGAAGCAATTGTAAATAATTTCGTTGGTTGTGGCTAGCAGAAGAATCCAGGAAGAGCGTTTTGTCCTAAGTAACATGTAAAAGAAAAATCTCCGTCCACAACCTTGTCGAAAATGTGTAATTAGTTTAGGTAATTAGATTTATAATACATAAATAGCGACGCATTGTGCATTCACAAGTTGGTTTGCTGTCATCGCACAGAAGGCGAGCTAAATACGGTGTTGTAGGGCTCTTGTGTTTTGCACTACAGTTCAGTGTACCTCCTTGTCGTCTTTCCAGATGACGCAGGAGGCTTTGAGTGAGGGAGACGCCGGTCATCTGACGGAATAACTTCTGCCAGATGTTTACACGAGCTGATACGTTTGTCCACGACTGTCTTAACTAGGAGTTTAGGGGATGCGCCGCCAGTTCTACCGACAATCTTCAAAGTTCAACACAACATCGCACGGTCTCCTTTCAGCAACCCCGGAAGGAATAAAGGGGAACGACAGGGGAACAAGCAAGATGGAGTTTGTAAAACACAAAAAGGCATCTCAGTTTTGCCTCATAATCATAGCTTCCCGATACAGAAAATAAGGTGGAAAAGTGATATTTTTAGAGCGCGATATTTAGTACTACAGTGCTCTCATCTGGTCTTGATGTAGTGAAGCTTTTTCGCAATCATATTACTTTTCACCAGGGCCCCAGGTGCTGGAAGATCAACGTTGCATCTTCTCATTTTTAGACCATCTAGCACTAACCCTTGGTTCTTGCAACATGGACAAGAATGCCAATGATCATATATGAAGCCTCGCGCCGAGGTCAGTAACTCCCGAAAGGCCTTCAACGGTCCTGTGATGAACAAAATGGGCCGGAACGGGTTGGTTGGGGTATAAAAAAAGTATTCAAAGCGCAGACGTCAACAGCTGCTTTTACCAAGGTGTTTACCAACAGTGAGGTCATGAAAAGTTTACACATACTGGGGGAATCGTTTCGCGATAAGCGTTTCTGGTCGTGCAGTGGACTCAGACGTTTGCTTTCCAACCTGACTAGGACATCCAATCGTTGAGCACCAGCATTATCGCTTACTCCATATGGTCTTTCCTTTTCTCTTCTTAGTCTCTTAGGCTGGGGAGAAAATACAGGATCGGAGAGTAGAAAAAGTTTTTCTTCGGGGCAACAGATATAACAATGACGTCTACTTTGAGTAAGGAGTTACACGAGCACATGACATTTTTGCATGCGATATCTGAATGTCATTTTTTCAGTGAAGCTGATAAAGTGTGGCATAAATAAATCAACGTGCCATATTTAGTCTTTCGGAGCATGCAATTCTTTGGATACTTCTGACCACAAATACTGAGCAAAAGCCATTTCGTTACATAGCATCAGTGAGAATTAATGTGGATATAATCACCCAGTGTGAGAAGTATCCTGCCAATAGTGAGTCTAATAATCGGTTGGAGTAAGTTGCATGACGAATGTTGAGCACAAATAAAGCTGAAAATATGTGAGCATTCAACAAGTTTGTGCTGCTTACAGGTGGCGTGTGAAGCTGTTAAATACTGCGACGGATGGGGGTAATCTGGGTGCAGTATTGCGCGGTGTCATGCAGAGTATGGCGATTGTTGAAGTCCATGATGTTGTAGGAAGTCAGTTGGATAAATTCAGCCAAAAATGCAAGTCTAAGGAATGCAGTTGCATTTCCAGTATTCAGCTGGGGTGGTATATCAGCAAGTGACACACTTCTAGACTGAAAATACGGTGGAACAAATGAAGCGTCCTATTTGTGAGATCAAAAGAGAAGTCGAACAGTATGAAATTTGCCAAAATGTTTGGGTCTGTACTTCTCCCGATATGAATGAATGACTTAGGGATAGAATTACAGCTGAGCAGAGTGATGAAGTGTGGATTCGTGATAAGAATTAAAAGCAGGCTAGGGCGTGAATAGAACGAGGTCTTTGGGGCCCGTGGTAAATTTCAAAACTGAAGGGCTTGAAGATGAAGCTTATGAGGTGCTTCCCGGGTTTGTTGCAGAGCTGGTTCAAAAATGCTATTGCACCATTCACCTAAGAAATGTCCCGGACAACTGGAGGTGACCTGGAAGTGGGATACATTCGCCACGACTCAAGTATACGGTACTCATTCAAATCATGTTGGTGTAAAAACATGACAAGAATTTTGATGCACGAAAGTTTTAAGACAGAAGACG